TTTCACATCTGTTTTTGTTGTTAATCCAAAAGAAGGCAAAACAAACCCAGTTTGGAGCACTTCCATTTTTTCAACAAACTATGAAAAATATCCTTCTTAACCCCAAAATGGCAGCCAGATATATATCCTTGGATCAAGAAGCTATTACCCCAAAAGGAAAGAAAGGAGAATAACATCCTTTGCCTCTTTCGATGAGGGGACTGGCCTTATCACCTTTTCCCTTAGCCGACTCTCTATATATTCCTTTAAAGCTCTTTCTTTGGCTTTGTTTGTAGGAATGTGAGTGGAAATAAAGAAGCTTCTTTTTGGTCTCTGTCAAAACTCTAGACTGTAGCCTGCTTGTATTATGTTTAAAACCCAGGCGTCTTGGATGTTCTGAGCCCATACCTTCTTAAAAAACCTTAGTCTGGCTCCTACTTACCTTTGACAGTCAGAAGTTTTTACCTGAAGGCCGAAAGGCCTGATTCCTGGGACAGTGTGATCGTGGGTAGGATGACTGTCCACCTCTCCATTAAATGCTGCCCCTCGTATATTCACTACCAGGTCTGTAATTTATGTACTCCCTTAAGTATTGGTCCCTGGGAGGTCTCCTATCTGACCAAGAGGTATTAGGTTTCTTATTTCATTTATACTGAGGTAGGAAAACCTTGTGCCCCTCTGCCGCCTTCTTGATAGAATCTTCTGGAATATCTAATGATTTACTCACTGTAAGAATCAATTTTTCAACAGCTCTAGCATCTGGAGCTTCACCCATCATTTCGCCTTCACTGTCGCTGGATTCTACTTGATCCAGGGCTTCAAATTCCTCCATAGGCTCAATGCCTTCAGAGTCAGAGGACTGCAAAGAGTCTTGCCTCTGTCTGTGTCTTTTCTCAGACCTCTTTCTTACCTCGAGGGCTACCGAAATATCATGGGTCACCTCCTTCCTTATCCAAGATAGTAAATCTGCTGAAGGAGCTGGGGTTGTAGATGATGATACTGCTACTTTCTGTAGACAGTCCAAGCATAATTGTTTACCCTCCTATCCCATTTTTCCTTCCTTTTTTCTAGGAGAGGAAGCCATCGTACGTTCTTCATTACTGTAAAGTAAGATAGAAAAACAGTGTCAATAGTTTATTCCAAAATAACTAAAACCAAGACTGAATAAACTTTACTTACCTGGACTCAGAAATAGACATCTGAGCGATAGCTGGAGAGGTCATAATGGGCTAACTAAAATACATATATGTAAATACATATATTAACTACAATACATAAAAGAAATATATAAAAATTATAATATATGTCTAACCAGACATAATCCTACCTGAGGCAAATTTGAAACCAAACTTGCTGGTACTTTAATTACTTCTACACCAATAAATACAGCAGAAAGGTGTGAAACTGATACTGGCACCAAGAGCAATCTCCATACTCACAGGTGCTTTTAAATACCTTAAACATCAAGTTTTCCTAATTTCCTGCACTTTCCTGCGATCAGAAGCTGTTAAAGTGCACAAAATACCTTTCCACAGCACAAAATAATGCGAACAGAAGGCACAGGCCTCAAATTTAAAGGTACACCTGAAAGAAAAAAACAACTGTTAAAAAGAACTTAAATAAGAGAGCAATAGGCGCTCTATCCTCAGGGTTGTAGGACACGAAAATTACTGAAGACCTTAGGACTGAAATAGCACAACACAATGAATGATTCAGCTAGTTTCCCTAAATTAATCTGAAATTTCAATTTACAACAACGTCTCCAGTCTCACAATTATTTAACTCCCTGAATAGAAGCCATCAACAGCACAAATATGCCAAACAGGTGTTATTTTGAATCTATGTAGGGCCAGAAGCACTATAGCTTTTTGAATACAGGTTTATATTCCTAACATTATAGTGTTTCTTTTTTTTAAATTAAAACTGTCCTTTGTGCACAAATGCAATCACTGACACATACATACATACATACATATACACTCACAATCAGTGACCCACTGCATGGGTCAAAGTGTGTTTGTGTCAGTGTATGTGTGAATGTCTGCATGGATCAGTGTGTGTGTGTGTGTGTGTCTGTCTGTCTGTCTGCATGGATCAGTGTGTGTGTTTGTGTGTCTGCATGGATCAGTGTGTGTGTCTGTATGGGTCAGTTTGAGTGTCAGTCCCCATGGGTCAGTGTGTGTGTGAGTTTGCATAAATCAGTGAATTTATCTGTGCATGGGTCACTGATTGTGTGTGTATAAGTATGTATGTATGTGTCAGTGATTGCAAACACACATACTGACCCATGCAGTCACACACACACACACACACACACACACACTGTCCCATGTAGTCACACACACTGGCCCGTGCAGTCACACACACACACACACACACACACACTGACATAAATACACACACACACATTCTCTGAAACACACACTTACCTTCATTATACTCCAAGCATCTTGTCTGCACACTTCAGGAACTTCAGGCATCACTCCCTGCATCAGCCCCACTTCCTTTTGTCACCAAGTACATGGAAAGGGGCAGGAGTGAACCTAGTAAAGAGCCTACTGGGACATTCTCAGCCGGGCTGCCCCACTTCCTTCCATAATTCCTCCCCCTATGCCACATGTAGGAGTGCTACCTCAGGTGGGGATCAAGTGCAGCCAGGTGCCGGCCAGGAGGGAATTCAGCACCCTGTAGTAACGGCTGTGCTGCGGCCACTGCCACCTGGCTGCCATCCTGAAATTTACTGTTTTTGGCCAGTTTTGGGTCTGTTACTGGGTCTGTTACTGGGTCTGTCCAGGCGGTCCAGTTGCCTGGACAGACCCAGACTCAGCTGGAGGTTTGCTCAAGGCACCCCCAGGGAACTGGAGCCCTAGGCCACTGCCTAAGTGGCCTAATAGAAGCGCTGGCCCTGTTTATATCTGTATGAGTGCCATTCTGTGTATGGGCATCTGCATGTGTGTCTATATGTGTGTCTGTCTGTATGTGTGTCTGTGTATCGGCATGTATGTCAGTGTGTGTCTTTGTATCTTTATGTGTGTCAGTTTTTGTATCTGTAGAAGTGTCATTCTGTGTATCTAAATGTGTGTCATTCTGTGTGTCTGTGTATTAGCATGTGTGTACATGTATGTATGTGTTATACAAATGGAGGGGCAGGGCTGGAGATGCATGGGGTGGCCCTAGGGCACTTTTCACACCGGGTCCCTGTGGTTACGCATTTACTCAGAAGGTTTCCATGCCAGAACTCCAAGATGTACACCACTACTGACCCAAATGCACAAGAAAAGTCAGCTCAAATATGCTCAAAATCATATAAATAAGCAACAGAAGTTTTCTGTTCTGTGGAGCGATGAAACAAAACTGGAACTGTGGCAAAGATGCCTCTGCCATGAGCTCTTGCAGGAGCCTGCTGGCTAACCTCCTGCCCAAGGACTACGGGCCCTGTAACTAACCTCTAAAAGACTTGGTTCATGTGGTTTCCCTGTATTGTTCGGGAACCGAACAAACCCACGAACTGCGGACCACATCTGGGCTTGTTAACCACTATTGACCTCTCCTGACGCCTCCATCATAATTTTCACACTATGTATCTAAGTGGCCGCCAGCTCAATTACCACGTGTTCGTTCATACGAATGGCGGCCATCTTGATCGCACAAACGCAGGCAGCGGTGTTTGGTTGTCAAGTGCATGGAACTATAATCGTACACTCTAACTTGCGAACACTGCTGAACTTTGACGAACTCCTGATTCGTTGCTATTCATGTCAGGAGAGTGCCATTCGGTAGGATTGTCATGAACTAGGCAAATAATCGCTACCTAGGAGCCAGAGGATCGTTTCTGTATTTTGTTCGGTTGTAGACTCCTGAAATTGACCGACTGCTACCACTTTTCTTACGGAACTATTTTGGGCAGGAGCCATGTGTGTGTGGTCGGTCAAAAGTTGACTTACATGGAAAATCCAAACCACCCAACCAATCTGAGTGATTTTTGGATATGATGGTCACTCAGATCAGGGCTATCCATGGGATGTGACTCTTGGGGTGTTTCCATGGATTTTAGGGGTACTTTTTAGGTGTGTTTGGCGGAGGTACCAAGTCGGGGTAAAAGGTGGTCCGCCACAGGAACTTTTCAGCCCAATGGATCAGCGGTATGTCTGGAGGAAGAAGAATGAAGCATACTCTGAATACTCCGTCTACAGTTAAGCATAGTGTTGGCCTGGTGATGTTCTGGGGCTGCTATGTATCCTCTAGCACTGAAAACCTGTGGCATATGAAAGGAAAGATAGATTTATTGAAGTATGAGGAAATCCTATGAGAAAATGTCATGCTGTCTGTGAGGAAGCTTAAGCTTGGACCTCACTGGACCTTTCAAGAAGAAAATGATCCCAAGCGCATTTAAATTCCACCAATTCTTGGTTGCAGAATTGTCCTGGAAAATTGTACAGTAGCTATCACAGTCACCTGACTTAAACCAAATAGAAAATCTTTGGAGGGAGATTGGTTGGTTGCAGCACGCAACCCCAAGAATGTTACTGAACTGGAAGCCATTACTCATGAGCAATGGGCTAAGATTCCTCAGAAAAGCTGCCAGAAGCTGATGTCTGGCTATGCATCTCACAGCAGGTCATCACAGCAAAGGGTGCTCTACTAAGTACTAAAGATTCTTACCTTGAAGGGGTTAAATAATTTTGAGACTGAAGAAGTCATTATAAGTTGTATTTTAAATTGAGTTTAGGGAACCTACTTGAAGCATTAATCACATTGAGCTATGCCAATTGCTTTTGTTTGATTTGTTCATTGCAAGCAGTGGAAAGTCTGTAAATTTTGACAATAAACCTGATTTTCAATGGGGTTAAATAATTTTGACTAAAACTGTATATATAACTGTTAATTAAGGTCCACACAACTTGCAACACATTTTCTAACTGCATTGCTATTTTTGTGAAGCTATTCATGTATACCTCTGTATTTTGGTTTTTGTATGAAGTACCTGTAATCATTAACCTAGATCAGGGATAGGCAATTGTCAGCACTCCAGATATTTTAGACTACATCCCCCATAATGCTCTTACACCCAAAATGCTGGCAAAGCACCATGGGAAGTGTAGTCCAAAACATCTGGAGTGCCGAAGGTTGCCTATGCCTGACTTAGATGTTCCAATACTAGATACATTACTTGGTGTTTTACATGTTATGTAATAACAGTCTTTTAAAGTCTTGAGAGAACTCCACTTACCTGTTTACTTTTCAAACCACATATTTTATTGTGTATTTTGTTATCAACACATGCCAAGAGAACATCTCTGATAGTCACGCTTGTGACTTTTATAAAAAAAAAAAATAGTTAAATAGGGTAGTTTGAAGGTAGTATTGGTGCTATTTGGAGGTAGGGCTCATAAATCATTATTCATTGTAAACTGGTGAGATCAACACTAAATAAATTAAAGGGTCATACCATTGCAAAAATAATAAAACATGCATTAATTACACATTTTGTTCATTGTTGGTATATCTAAAAACATCTTGTAAAAGCTGCAGATTTTTGTCTGCGGCCTTTGAAAGCTCTCATCTTTTTCCTCAGTCCAGACTTTCTGTGGCTGTCTACACTTGTGTCCAATAGGTGCTCTGGGCAATTCCCTGTCTTGAGTTTAGCTCCACCAGGAAATAACAGGACCTGAACAGCTGTTCGACCAAATTCTGTATCTTTAATAAGCAATGCAGACATATATCCAAGCAAATAACTAGTACAATGGCCAAACATGAATAATGGGTAAAACATTCTTGATGGCTAGGAGACAGCCACTAAATATTAATTTTATTCAACGTTTAAGTGATAAGGGACCAATAGAGAAAAACTTATTTTTATAATAAATTAATTTTTTTGGTTACTTCTTACTTGAGTGCAGAACCAAATGGCATGAAAATGTTCCTATCAGTGTACTGCAAAATAGAATATTTATATATTATGCCTATTTGACTAGCTGCAGTGGAGAATGCAGTGGACAATTAAGCCTACCTTTGCTGAAGCTTTCACTCATGGGCAGAAATGCCATGCAATGGTTTTGAGCAGTTCCAAGTATATATTATGAGATGCTGGTATTTGTTATTCCATTTTTTGTTGTCGAGGATAGTTGGATGGTATGCTTTAGAGATAAAGGTTGGTGCTGTAAAAAGTTCTATGACGTAGTCTATCGTGTTACAAAACATAAAAATAAATTGCACAATAACCTTTTTAGAATTATAGTGGATGTATAAATATGGTTATAAAAGTATAGTAGTTATACATTTGCTATCTGAGTGCAGGAGGCGTGAGAAGTTATTGTGTTTCTGAACAGGCCACAGTGGAAAATGTCATCGCAATAGACAATTTTACTGTGGCCTGGAGTGGTCCTCCATTATTGAATGAGCTATTGTATGAGGTATTATTCCGATATACTCACGTTGAATTATGTAGGCATTTTTAACAGAATCAATACTCACTGACCTAAAACATTCTATTGGAAGATAGACATTTTTATACATAATTATAAAAAGCTAAGCTGAGACAGAAAAGGTTCAAGGAATCTAAATCCAAGGGATCATAGCAGAAACACGCAAACAGTATTGTACAGAGTGTATGGCTTCTTCCATTGCCCTGGGTTTGTTTTTTTTGAATCTGCAAAGTACATGAATGACAAAAAGTAATCATAGCCAAACAAATGAAAAACCAAAAGGTTCTTTCAAACCTTGACATTGGCATTATCTATAGTCGAATATAAAGATAATTGCTTTATTTTTACAAGAAATTTAAAAAAGGTTCACCCAGCATTTCTTAGAAACCATTCAGTTAAGAAGGTAAAAAAAAAAAAATCTACTTTTTTTCAAATTATTATTCTTTCAGCTTCTTGGGTGTACACATGAGATTTAATTAGTTTCTCCATTACGGTTGTTTGCAGAGAGAACTCGCCATCAAGACAGCAGGTGGTATAAATTATTTCAGTGGATTTTTTTCCTCCTCCCTAATCGGTAAGCAGCATGGGGTTAAATAGGACTCTTTGCTTAAGACGGATTGTGGCTGTGTCTGCAGAAGATCTGCCCTAGACACTTACATTTACACAATAAGAAGAGTATTGTTTGTTCTGCTACGCTGCAGAATTCATTTACTATGTAAAATCAAAATCCAGTTACTCATTTTATGGCAGATTTATTGCATTTACAGAGGTTTAATCTTCGGTTCCCGGCAGCCTTTAAATGCACATGGCCTGTGATATTTGAGTTCTTGTGTCTGGAGCACAAAACATATTTCACAAGCTATGACCCCGGAGAAGTCTCTTGTGTACAGTGAAAGTGTCATTTCTCTTTTATGCAATGTAAAATTAAATAATCTGGTTTTCAAAGCATTTCCTGATTACAGCTTTTATCAATATATACCAAGATTATATGTATTGTATTCAGATAAAGAAACACTGAATTTGATAGAAGCAGTGGTTATTTTAATAACTCCAGGATCAGTGACATCAAGATAATACTGTATATGATTCTAAACCTGAATTTTAAGACACACCATATACTTTAACAGAAATAATAATGTGCAGCTTTAGAAGTAGACATACATCTATCCAGTGAGTGTAAGTAAAGAATGAGGTCCTCGAGTTAGGCTTTAGAAAAGGTTAACATAACAGCTGTAGAGTTGGACTCAATAACCAACAGGATATCATGTAATCAAAAACCAGTGGAATCGTGTTGGCTTTATAGCTTGTGCTATACCTTCAGATCTCCAATATGTTTTAGCTACCTTACACAACCACCTAGAAACTTTACCTTTCAGTTAAAAACAGAAATGCTGAGTAAGTTCCACATGCACAAATGATTCAGCAAACTCACATAATTTGTTATGAGTTCACATGGATTATCATGGAAGTTTTTTTGTGTGTTTTTGTTGTGTGTGTCACTTGTTTGACTTCACACATAAAAAAGTTCCTCAAAGACACTGCTGCTCTATATGACTGGTGGTGGTGTTAAAGGAGATAGCAAATACACTGTAACATGGAAAAGAGAAATATGTAATTTATGCCTGCAATGATACGACATGTGACATTATATAATATACATTTAAAATTGTTCTAAGGGTGCACAAATGTAATAAAACTTAAAAGGAGGATAAGCCCCTGTCAATGCCAATATTGCATGTAACAATTGCCACAAACATTCCGTCTGAAGCTCAAAGTAAAGAAACTCGACTTCCCAGGCCCTAAACGTAATGTCCAAATATGAATTCATACCGGTAGTTTAGGCTGCAAATAACAATATGAAGAAACTATGACAAAGTATGGCCTATGTTTTTTACATTTCTGTGTGAGTGCAGGATTGCATGTATTGCTTTGTCAACATGTAAAGAGTTTTTTCGTAATTATAATTACAAAAACAAAAACTAAAGTGCATATATCCTTATGTGTAGTGACAATTTGCCTAATATAGTTGTCTACTTCTGTGCAAATATATTTGTGTATGTTGTTTTGTTTTTACAAATATGAATATATGTGTTTATTTCTTTGTAAATATATTGAGAACAATTTTCTAGTGCCGTCTTGATAACGTCCCCTTGTGGGACAAAATGCGTTGACCCAGTACGCAACTCACAGGAGCTTTGTCCCGATGTGACATGACTCAATTTGAGAACTAGTGATAGCATACCTACACCAGGAATCTTTACTCAACTACTGTTCAAAATCTCCCTTGTGATCCCTACCAAAGGCATATTGGTTATTTTTAAGGATTAACCACACAACTGCTTAGGTTTATCATGGAGCCTCCTTATTTCTTCATCTATTTAGTAGATCATTTTAAATTGGACTTAGGACTCTAGAGTCCGCAAACGCCTTATCCTATTGACACCTTATCCATTAAGGTACCAGCATTATAATGCATAATGATTGCTGTTTGTTTTGTGGTGAGGTGTTGCCGCATAATCCTAATTACATAATGTTGGAGTTTTTTTTCAAGTTTTTTTGAGTGTATATTTTTACTTTATTTATATTTATATTTACATTGTGTTGGCTTTCTGGCAGTGTTTTATTATCTAATCCAGGACATCTGCTTACTGATGGGTAAGTCTCTATCACCGTGATATTAATAATCTCAATAAAATAGTTTTATTTATTTATTTTGTGCCCCATAAATTGTTCTGAGTATATTTATTGGTTGTACAAAACACCCTATATTCAGAGGCGGCTGCTTTTATTAATATTTTTTTGCTTTATGGAACACTAAATAAGCGTAAAATTCTTGTTTTGCATAAAGTGTGTATTTATGTACTTTTGTGAATGCATGTCTGTATTTCTGTGTGTGACATTTTACCTGCATATTCACAGCTTGTTAGTCTTAAAATGAACGCTTGGAGAAATTAGGTGGTCACTAACAAGGTTGCATCGTTTTCCTCTATGCCTGGTGTTCTGTGATAGCATGTCAGGTCATTTCTTCATATCCTGACAGTTACATCAATTATTGTTTATTGTCATTGTGTCATTGATGTTAGAGTTAATGTTTAGTGTAGTGTAGGAATTCATGTTTAGCAATAGTTTTGTGTAGGTGACAGTTTCGGTAAAGTGCTTGCATCGTATGGGAATATGAGGGTAAGCGGTTAGTATTAGGGTAGAGTAGAAGTAAATGCTTAGCAATAGTTTAGTGTAAAAGTAGCCTCCTCAGTGTATTTACATATTAACAAATGCTGTGAAAAAAATGCCTGGGTCTAAAGGATTTGTATTTTAATAAGATATTATAATTAGTAGCATAATGCTTCAAACTGGATGTGTTTTCTGAAGTGCAACTTTAAAACCGAACAATGAGGTTTGTTTCTAATGATAAATGAAAGAACAGAGCCAAATAATTTAGCCCGTGGCTTCTGCATGTCTTTAGACCAGGTAAATAAATGAAACAGGGAAACAATAATGAGTAAAAGTTTTCAGTTTAATATGAAAGAGCAGATGTAGATTCATTTAGTTCTTTAAAGTTTGTGTTAGGGGGCACAAGTAAATCATTGTTTAAAGTGTTACTCCAACAAAACAAACTAGTGTTTTAATTAACCATAACTGACCAACCGCCCCACCAATTACCCCCACTCCCCCCCAAAACAAATAAAAATCAATCATTT